ATTTTTTAAATAAATTTCAATGATGATTACTTTTCTCTTCGATCTAAATAATTACGAATAAGTGCAAATTCCAAAACTTTTTGCTTAGAAGTGAGCAGTGCTTGGAAAATTTTACTTCTAACAAAGAAAAAAAAACCGGTACTGCATGAGGATTATTACAAAGTAATAAAAAATATTCTTAATAATAATTTTGGGTCAAAGGATTAATCGTGTGAGAAAATTGTTGTCTTTCATAAATTTCAATCTCTATCGCACTACTCAATAATTATTTTACTAGTCAAAAGATTTAAGAGTCATGATATAATATATCAGCAAGAATAATATAAGAGTCACAAATTTTGAGTAATAAACATGCTTTTTTTATTCATTTTAAGAGGGCAATATTAAATAGTAATGTGTCAATACTTCAATTCAAAATGTTACACATTGTTTCCTTGGGGTATTATTATTAGTGAAATATGTGTACGGTTTAAGAAGAAATGCAATTTTTTAATAATATAAGCTATAAATCACTCTTCTTTTTCTTTAACAGCACTACTGCCCTGTGCAGTCCAAGACTTTCTCAGTCTGCCTCTTCTGGGCAGTTCAACTTGTAGCTAGATTTATCCCTGTATTCACTCCCAATACTTTGAGGTCCTTCTCCACACAGTCCAACCACCTTGCTGCCCCTCTCCCTCTCTTTCTTGAAACCCTCAATCTTTGAAAATGTTTGTCTTTTAGCTGGATCAGAATCTTCACAATGAAAATCATCTCCCAGTCGTTTGAATCTGTGTAACTTAATAACTCTCAAAATGTTCGGTTGTCTACATAATACACTTAATGTTTAGATGAACTTCTTTATGTATTATTTTCTTTCACTGCTCCAAAAATTGACCGACAGATTTTTCTTTCAAAAGAGAAAAATCTATTCTCTTCTGCTTTATTAAGCACTCAAGTCTCGCTATCATACAAGATAATCGGTTTAATAAGTGATGCACATAGATTTACTTTAGTAGTCATGGAGATAAATTTAGATTTTAATTGGTTCTTCAGTCCAAAGTACCATCTATTAGCCACAAGAATTAGGTTCCCAATATAAATCATGTTTAGTAGCATATAATGCTAGATTTGTCAAATCAAACTACAGCTTTCGTTTTATTGCTTGTTTTTTTTAAATATCACTCAATGCTGATCGTTTAATGCCTATTCAGTACGTGACAATGTTGAGATAAAACTAAGTTTTGATAAAAAAATTTAAAATTTTTTTTTAATTTAAAAGTAAAAAATTACTTAGAAAAACTATTTTGAATTTTATCAAGTTTAAAACTTAGTTTTTCATTTTTAACAATTATTTTCTAGGAGAAAGATTGAAAAAATGAAGAATGAAAAATTTTCTGGATTAAAAAACTTTTAATAACAAATAGCATTGTAATGTTATGTCATTGTAACTAATTTTTGATTGTAACTGTTTTGACTTTCTTCAAATTAATTCAAAATATTTTATTACCTCTTATCTCTATCCACCCAGGAGCCATCCTCTGTTTTTATTTATTTTGCAATTTTAAATTACAAATGATTTTTTTTAAATATTTAAGGAAATAAAATTATTTAATCAAAATATTATAATGCCGTTTTAAAATCATGAATCTTTAGATTACTTTGCCAATATTTATGTCATATTGTTTTATCAAAAAATTCAAATAACATTCAACGCATTTTGAAGCACAAAATAATTAAGCCTTTTAAAAAGTTATGCTTCTAAATCTAGATGAAAAAATCCAGGCAAAACATTTAGAAAATTTTGCACAAATCTAGCTGCTGGTTTTTATTTTTAAATAAACTATTTTGTGAACAAATACTTCGGAGATTAAAAAATTTAATGTTTTTAAATCCTTTCAAAATAATAAAAACACAATTCAATCAGTAAAAATAAAAATAAACCGCAGATCAGTTAAAGATTTTTGGCGTTAAAAATCAGTGTCTTTCAAGTCACGCTCCAGATCCTATTTTCAAAATAATTTCAAACAAAGGGGAAAATGAGGAACATATTTTCCGGCTTCCTTTCGGATCATTATCTTTTTGTTCCGTTATCAGCACCACATCTGAACGCCAAACAAAATTTTTCTTCTTTTAAAGCAGATTGCTTTATTATTTTCGCCAAACTTCAAAGATCGAACTTCTCTGGAAATGATTTTGAAAAGCTTCGATGCTTCGGTGAAAGAATGGTATTTCTCAATCCTTTTGATTTGATTGAAGGCGAGAAAAGTGCATAAAACTATTTAATGCCAGTATTTTTAGGGCAGAAATTAACTTTTTACAAAAAAATAAAACTATTAATATTTCTAAAAACTTCTACGAACTCATTTACCTAATTAAAAATAATTATAAAATTAGTTTCAGGTATCATATTAATTGGATAAGAAGGAATATATCAACTAGGATATTAAATGTTGTTTCAAATTATAAAAGAAATTTTGACAAAAGATTGTTAATATATAGTGTTTATGGAGTTTAAACAACTGTCAATAATTCTGAAACTGAATTCTATATTGTACTATAATTCTGAAACTGAAAATATTTCGAAACTGAATTGTACCTTGATTCTGAAACTAAACATATTTGTATCTGTGAATTTCTTGTAGGATAAAAACTTTCACTGTTTTACCAGAATAACATTATATAACCCCCTTCATGAATACTTACTGCCAACTGCTTAAATACTATTATAATTGCCCATAACTCAAAAGTATATTACAAGACTTAAAGAAGATAAAATAAAACGATTTAATTTTTTTTAATGTACTATGTCAAATTTGCCACTGAAATTCAAGTAGTATAAATTGAAAACATTTTTATTTTAAATTGATGAATTGTTTATGAAACAATTTGAAAAATATTCTAACTTTTTTTGATGTCGCTAACTAATGGAAATATTTTTTGGTACAAAAATACTGTGTCATGAGGAAGATTTACTATAATGAGAAGAATACCTCAGTCTTAGAAGCAATGTTAAAAAAAATATGGTTCAGAAAATGAAAAATAATAATGATGTTAAAAAGCGATGATAAAAATGAGCAATATAATTTGATAAATATGAAGAAAAATGTGACAAATGTGAAAAATCTAAGAAATTTTTGAGATGAAAAAAATATTAATAAATATAGAGGAAATAGGGAATATAGAGGAAATGAGAAATATAGAGTGATTTTTTAAAGATAAAGTATAGATCTAATAACTGAAAAAAAACTTATAAATAAAAATATAGGGTCTAGATAAATATGAAAAAGGAAATCTTATTTAACAATAAAAATTTAAAAACGTGTTGTTAATCAAAAGTAATAAAATATTTTATAAAGAAAATGTGAAATAAGTTGATTAATATGAAAACCATGGATAACTATAAATATTAAGAAACCTTAATGTTCACATATAATAATATCATATATAACATATAATAAACTTTTATGGGTAAAATATAATGTTGATAAATGCTGAAAAACTGTTTGGATAACTGCAGAAGTTCAGAATAAATTATTGACAATATGTTATAAACTGTTGTAGGCAGAAACTAAGAGATTGATAACGATGCAAAAATTGGAAGGCTACAAAGATTTAAAAAATGCAATGTTTATAAAAATAGTAGCGTCTTGAATAAAAAATAACATATGATAATGCTAAATATGAAAAAAATGAATAAATTTAAATATTTAGAAATTGTGTAGATGATAAAAAGTAATTAATTAAAATTTAAAAAGCACGATATATTGTAATAAGTGTTTTAGTAACAGAAATGTGAAGCGTATAATTACCTGCAACTAAAGTGACAATTAATTTTAAACAACCGTAATATTCGTAAATACATTAACTATTTATGTAAAAAGGCTACAATGTTAATAAATTTGAAAACCTTACAGTTGATTAAATATGAAGAATAAAAAAATTAAATATTAAAAATTTTTGCCTATGGAAACGCTTTTATGAAAAGGTAATGAGTTATGAAAAGGTAAATAAAAATAAACTTCTACCTAAGAAAAATCCTGACATTTATAAATATAAAAATGAAATTTTAGGGGTTCACATAAATATGAATAACTTGTGTTGATATAAATAAAATGTGAGGATTATTGTATATTTATGATTAGAACAAAAATGTGTTAATGTGAAAGATTTTTAATGAAAAGAAAAAGTGAGTTAGATAACTTGGAATAGTGTTTTATGTAAAGAAACCATGATGTTTAGAAATATAAAGAAGTATCAGAAGCACATATGCTCAAGAAGTGTGAAGGTAACTGAAAAAAAAAAGATACTATGTTTATTGTAGACTTATAATTATAAAAGAAGATGTGTTAATCTGAAGATACTTTAATTCAAAGAAAATATAGGTTAGATGAATTAGAATAATATTTTATGTAAGAAAACCGAGATGATGCTTGGACATAAGAAAAGAAGTGTTGGCACACATAGTAAGAAAGTGTAAGGTAAATAATAATGACTAATTTAGAAGTTAAATAAATATAAAAAAATACGATGATTATTGTTGACTTATGAATGCAAAAAACATGTTCATTTGAAGACACTTTATAGAAAGTATGGATAGAATGAATAGAAAATATGGTATAAATGAACTAGAATAGTGTTTTATGTAAAACAAAACGTGATGATGTTTAGAAATATGAAAATGAAGTATTAGGAGCACACATAATAAGAAGGTGAAATGGTAAATGAAAAGAATTCGTATTGATGTTAAATAAATATAAAAGATTTTGATGATTATTGTAGACTTATGATTAAAAAAAGTTGCTAATATGAAGACACTTTAATCGAAATAAAATGGGGGTTAGATAAATTAAAATAATGTTTAATATCAATAACCGTGATGAGAATTATAAATATGAAAAAAAATTCTTAGAAGCACACATATAAAGAAAGTGTGTTTAAAAACTGTAAATGTCTTGTAATGCTGTTAAATATAAAATGAAATGTGTAGTGATTATTGTAGAGCTATGCTTATAGAAACATACCCGGCGAGAGCAGAACAACAGATGTAATGATAAGGGAACAGACAGTGGCGATGACAAGTAAGGCTATACAGATTCCTCTCCAGTTTCTCTGTTCTTCTTCTTCTGATGCCAAATCCTACAAAAAATAATAAATATATAAACTACTAAAATTTTCTTAAGTGTTTAACGTTATTTTAACGTTAGAACCTTTATTTCAAAAAATACTTTATTAAAAGGAAACCTTGATTTTTATATTTCAAAATGTGAAGAGAATTTAAACATCAAAATATGAAGGATGTGATTAACATATTTTTTTTTACTTCCTGTGATTAACATATTTTTTTTATTAGAATCCTGCACCCATGGTTCTGCTTAGCGACTGACCACCAGAACTTTCAATTCCACAGATTTTACGAGCACATAAATCGCATGTACTCAGTGAGTCCTAACGAAACCAAGGATCAAAAACCAGACAGTAGTCCGCTTCTTTAACCACTGGGTTAACACGGTCCTTAATAAATATAATAATGTAAAAATTAAAAAAAAACCCAAAGGAGAAATATTTGACATTATGCTTAAAAATATTTAAATAAAATTTATGCATTTATCACAAAAGTTTCTTACTTCTACGTAAATGATTTTAAACTTAAATTAAAAACTCTTACATTATTAAAATATGTTTTCGAAGCATTCATTTAAAGTGTAAATGATGACAGGAAATTTGTTAATCAAACTCAAAACAGCGTTGCTAAATCAGTATTCAAAACTTACAACAGTGAGTTATGTAACCCTAAACGGCGGTATTGATTTATTTTTATGGCTTGCTGAATTCAAAGTAATGTAGTTTCAGATTTCAGGATAAATTATCTTCAATTATCTTAATATCATTAAAATTTAATTTAAGTACAAAATTGTTATGTTGAAGTTTAAATATGTTCAATTTTTCTATTTAGTATGTAACAACAAATTATTTTCAAAAAAGACATTCAGGAATCAGAATTTTTGAGAGATTATTCAGCAAATTGTTTCAGTCAAAATATTTATGCTAAAAATATTTTGATTATAAAATATCTTAGTTAATTAAAAGTTATACAAGGCCTTTAAAGATTAATTGATTTCGAATTATAATAGAGGTTACTTATAAAATACAATATTTTACTATAAAAGTAATCATTCATATGTAGATAAATTATCATAAAGTTTTTTTTTCTATTCATTTTGAAGGAGACCTTGAATATATTTTTAAGATCAAATTTAGTAAAGTGTAGAACAACTCTATCTCAAGTCCTTACATATCCCGACATGTCTTACCTGTCCTAAAGTAAGTCATTAATTTTAACTGCGGCTTTTATTTTAATGATTTAAATGCACGAGATATTAACCAAACCCTATAAATCTTCCAGTTGAAACTTTTAGTCATAAAATGTAATATTTCTTAAATTACATGGTAAAACGTTGATTTATTCTATTTGATTAAAATAATTATTTTATATTAAATGAAAGACACGCATAATTATGTAGGGAATATATATATATATATATATACGAGATGATGCTTGGACAT